AACCAGACATCCCTTCCAGCCAAACAYATTTGATAAAACACATGCAGAGAGATAAGGACTTCTTGCACCTTGAAGGAATATTGAAACAGCTTGATTTTCAGAAGCATTTCACACAAGTACATCAAGTCAAACAYCCAAAATCTTTTTGGAAGTCTTGGCCAGTCTAAAAGACTTCTCAAAATCCCTTTGATTTTTAATGCCCAAACTCCAAATGAACCCAGGGCAATCTTTCTGCTCAAGCACTAACCCAATCCCCCAGAAGGAACTGGGGCAAGATCAGAGCTCTGAAGAAATCAATGTTCAATTTTAGCTCTGATGCTCACGTAGAGGAGGATCCCAGCCTGTGGGCAAGTGTAGCAAGGAAATGGAAGGAAGGAAGGTGGGAGGCAGATAAAAATGATGTCAATAAGACACACACAAAAGCAGGGATTACCTCCCCACTTGTACAATTAATAACTCTCAGGGCTTTATTGCTACATGTTTTTGTCTTTGTTATTTGCTGTTTGTTTTTAACCGTCCTGCCAAATAAAGCAAAGCCCCTGTGCTGCCAAAACTTTTATTGCTTTCTTAGATTAAATAATGCTTTTACAATGTAGATATTTCATTATTATCAAATAAAGTTGATAATAAAGAAACAAGCAACAACTTGGCACTCTATAACAAGCAGTGACTCTTCAGGATGTTTAGTTGACTATTTATGACCTGTTTACATAAAAAGTTCTTTAGTTCTAATTGCAATGCAGATTTATTCCTATTAACTTACAAAATTAATCCAGGAAAAGCCACTAGTTTTAGGGGTAAGAGAGCAGAGCAACTCCAGTCCTCCAAACCACTCCCAGCTCATCATATTTTCCCTTTTCAAGGTAAATAGTAACACCAGTGAGAAAAAGAGGCTGAATAAAAAGATTACACATGGAGGTATAAAAGCACCAGCTCTTTTTGCATGGAGCTGGTGACACACTGAGCAAARCTTTTTGCTGTTCAGTGGCAGAACCATATGTGCTTGCACCCCAAAATCACAGAGGATCCCATTAAGGCACGTCCCATTAAGCCTCCTTCCCTCACAAATTTCAGTTTACACAGCAAATCTGAGCTTACTGAAAACATGAACTAAATTCCACAGCCAGATATGGTGACAGAGTCTGGGCAGGGGAAGATGAGCCAGAATTCTGTGGATCTTGTGGACGTGGACATGCAGGCTGCCATTTCAGCACGAGGAGTGATGCTGAAATGCCTGAAAGCAGCCAAAGAAATTGGCTCTCAAGTGCCATAAAATTCCAGGGGCACCGCTTATGACCACAGTCAGTCTGAGGTATTTAGTTTAAGAATGATTAATCACAGTTGAATCAGCCTTTTGTTTCTTTTTTGACATTTCAGAGCCCTTTCTAGTATTCCATCTATCTGAAGTCTGGCCATGACTTGATACCGAAGGAGACTGTTTGAAATAATTCCATTTACTTTGGCCTGCATACAAGTCTGGATAAAGGTTTCAGTCAAAACACCTCTTCACATCATAGAATGGTCTTAAAATGGCACACAGATAACACAGCAAGAAGACATTAAATCTGCTGTGCACTTCAAAGGGTTCTGGCAGTTATTTACCACCACCAGTGGGGTGGCTTCAGGGGAAACACATCCTTGACCAAAACAAGGGCTGATCCACGCTCCAGCTGCAGTGTTTGCATGCAAATACCAAAGCTTTACAAAATCCAGAGCTAAGAAACTCACGTAGAAAATGGTACCAATAATCCTACCCCCAACACAAGAACTTAGAGGAGAAAGCAATTTAAGATCAACAGAGGCTCAGTGGCAAACTCAAGGAAGTAAATACAATTATTTATCCAAAAAACACAACCCCAAAATCTAGTGTCACCCACCACCAGATTCCAAAGCAGTATCAAAGGACTGCAATGGAAAGAGCAGAAAGGATCTCAAAGAGCTCGGTACTGACTGGAAAATGTGAATTTAGTACCACAGAGCCATGGAGTGAAATTTTTTAACTGAAAGATGCAGGATAAAACTGATACAATATCAATAGAGGAAAAAATATCCAAGGTCCTCTCAAGCATTTCTCTGGCTGTTTGCTAAAGGTGCTTCTTTTTATTTCTGTAATTCTATAAATATCCGTGTGAACAACTGCATTTAACTAAAAACATTAGCATGTACACACAGAGGACTTAAACACACGAGAAGCAACCCTGAGACCAACCTCATTTTCAAGTAAAATACTTTCTAAAAACTTYAACACACAAAATGCATTAGGAAAAAGACTTTGCATCTTATGACTCCTGGAAAATTTTCCAGGAGACTACTTTCCAACATGAGAACTACCACATCTAACAGCCTGAGAAGGTTTCCCACAAGGTCGTGAATTTCTTCAGAGAGACATTTTAATCTTGCATTACCCTGACCTACCCTGAAAAAATGGAACAAAGCCATTGCTTACGTTTTTTCATTGGATTTTTCCATATTAACATAATAGGACTACAGGAATAACTACAGGAATCCTTTTGTCTCAATTTAATGTAGATTTTATTTTAGYAGTTTGTAAATATTAACCCATACATAGGAACAAATCTGAGAGAAAAAAGGAACAGAAAAACATCCTAATATTGCAATATAGTCCTGTCTCCCATCTTAAAGTAATTTCACTGGGACTCCACAGTTTTAAAATCCCATTGCAATCAAATGTTGGCTGCTTGGGAAMAAAAGGAATGGGAACAGTGAGTCAAAAGGGAGCTTTATTTTAAAAACCTCTGCAATTATGTCTGATCCACGGGTTAGCTGATACTCTAACCATTCATCTTCCTGCCTGGGAATCCAGAATTCTCCAACTCTGCTACTGTGCCAGAGGAATCCCAACTCTGGGATCTGCTTCCAGGACAKTGAGGCCTCCAATCTTCCACTGGATTACACACTCTCCATACCCCAAATTGTACCATTTGTGGAAAGATAATCCTTCAGATGAAATGGTCACACCCCCAATAACTATTTCCCAAATCTCATGCCTTCACTGTAAATAAATGTTCTCATAAGACACTGTTCATACAGAGAGGGGCTGCAGTGCCAAGCCTCAATTTCTGTCTATTCCAGGACAAATAATTTGCAAAGAGAAATTTTAAAAAAGGTTAAAACCCCAGTGGTTAGCTTTCCAGCTCCTTTTTCTTTCCTTCATTTAATTTCCTTACCTGACACGAGGTTACCAACAGTCACCTCCAGCCTGTCACTCTTCCCCAATRATATCATTGAGGGAAAGGAGGCTCTAACATCTCTATTAAACTGCAATAAAGCAAAGTCTTCTACATGTAATGCCTCTAAGTCAACCAGACATTACTGAAATTACTTAATCTGAAAAGTCAGTGCCTCCCCATCCTACTTTACCCCTCCCAASCACTTCACAAGAGCAGCAGCATTATCCAGATGCATTTCAGAGCTTAGTTTGATAATTTGGTTCCGGTGTTCTATTTCAGTGAGGGGAAAGTGGAACTACAGAATTAATGTCAACCTGATTTTCATGTCCATTACTTTTGTCTACTTCTGAAACAAACAGACCCAGGAAAAGAAATATAAAACAGAACAAAGACTCTTGGAATTCATTTATTAAATTACTGCTTTCTAAACGTAGCATTATATGTGCTTCTGTGTGTGTTCTAATCACACAAGGACAGGCTCTCYTCTTATCCTCCCCAATCCCTGCTCCAACTTTAATTACCTAAGCACACTGAGATGTGCTTAGACTCCTGCAAGACTAAAATGTATGTTCTACCAAATCACAGTCACATCAAAGAGTCATTAATTCTAAGCAAGGGAAGAAAAAGAGCTTTTGCAAGAGAAACAAAAAGTAAAATACTCCCACTACAATTAGATCRATTTCCATTATTTAAGAATGGAATCTAGAAGAGTCGTGGGAGTGTGATATTCTTGATGCAGTCATTTTCAAATTGCAGCACAGGTTCAACAGAACACAGATCCCTTTATGATAAATAACACAAACATATAATGGATCCTTTAAAGCACTGACTGCTGTGTGAGCTTTATTTAATCCATGTACACAAAGTTCATGTTTTCAGTAAAACACTACAAGCACCTCAACCCAAATTTTCTCAGCCATGGTATCTTTAAGAACTGGCATGTTTTTTGCCATTATAGCCAGATTTATTTAAGTGCCCTGGTAAGCTAAATCAATTTTTTTCACAAGTTTCAAACCATGCAGGTTGTACAAGGGACAAGGGATGCTAAATTGCACTATTTTGACATGAACAGATCACCCTAAACTTTTAAATATCTCCAAAGAGTAGAGAAAGTGATCAGAACCTTTGGTTCAAGCTGGTGATGTACTCTGGAATTGTATCATAATAATATCCAGAAGCAATGATATATTTAAAGAGAAAAGGTATCATAGTCACAAGATCTAAAAAACACAAGAGACACTGAGATCTSAACTCGGGTGAAGCCAACAGGGGTTATAAAGGAGTCAGAGTGGTTACTGTAGATGTTCTGTGCATTCTCCTGATCCTCTCCTCAAAAATCTGCTCTGGCTCAAAACTGCTGCTCACCAAACTTCCCATTGCTTTCATGGGCAGAGCAAGTCCCCAGCCTTTAACAAAAAATAAAGAAGAAAACCCAGCCAAGCCCACARAGGCATCTTATCACCGCCTGGAGTCACTAAGCAACAATTACAAACATGCCAGCCTCAAAAAGGGAGAATTTTAGTCTGTTGGAAGAGATAAACACCAGATAGCCAGGTAACCAAATGACAAACTGTTATCTGACAGCCTTGAAAACCTCTCTTGAGCCAAGATGTAATAAATAGCACATGCAGCTAAATTGGAAAAAAAAAATTCTTAAGCCAAGTTAAATAGTAACCAACATTCAAATTTAACCATATAAARTCTACATTAAAATCCAAAATGACAATTACAAAATATTATATTACTATGAACACTGTCAAGAGCTTTGAATAAYAGGACACTGAGGAAATAAGTGAAAACACACTTTACCTTGTATCTCATTTTGGGGCATGAGTGAATGTAGAAACCCATATAATAAAAACAGAGATCGGGAGCTTTTTCATGAAGCTGTCTAGTAAAAGCAATTTCCCTGTGAGGGGAAAGAAAAGACTAATTATATTTGAATACAATCCATACAATCATTTTACCTCTTCATATTGAAATATTTTACAGCTACCTGGCTCTTCATCTATTTCAAGCCCTAGACTTCTATAAAATAAAAAATAAAGATCATAAACTCCAAACTAATGTTTTTAAAAATCCCAACTGAAATAATAAACTGAAAATTAATATACTTGGAAACTGAATAAACAAATCACCAAAATGCACAACACCATSTCAGGCTTAAAAATACTTTCATTTTTGTGTTTTGGTCTGGAAACTGCCTGATTTGAAATTTAAATAAAAATGACAAAGAGCCTAAATTTAATAGGTTTCTTGTTAATATTCATGTACATTGGAATTCTACAGAAACCTGGCCCAGCTATTGCACACAGACTGGCTAACATGGCTCAGGAAAAGATCAGAAGTATTTTTAAAAAATAAGCTTCAAGGATAAGCCTCTTGTTCTATCATTSATGCTCCAGCAATTTGCATGTAAAAACATCAATCTTCATGCAACAAAAGGTATTTTCACCCATCCCATGTTTGTCAGTATGATCTTCTCATTTACTCTGAAAGAAAAATATCAACATATTCCAAAACAAGTTTGCTTTTTATTTTACTGGCACAAGGAAAGCACTGCTACCATAAAGACTCAGCCAGTGCTTCCTCAGTGATCGTTTTTACAGCATTTCTAACTGTGCAGGCCMCTTTTGTAACAAATTTGATTAAATAAGGATGTCAGTCCTTACTTTCWGTGTCAAAGGGATAAGAAGATGGCCCTGCTCACTGCAGGGGATTTGGAATAGAWGATCATTAAAAGGTCCYYTCCAAAACAGACTATTCTCTGATCCAAGATATGAGTACATACATATAGGAATCTTCTGCAAACACTGGGAGTTCTTTGTCACTTAAATTAGTATCACCCAGTATTTCTTGATTTTTTTTTTCCTTTGGCAAGGCTGGTATTTCCAAGCAGCTTCTTCTCCCCTCATTCTCTATTTACATGACTATGTATTTCAAATGATCCTCAAATCCCATCCTTTCTACAGCTCAGCAGCACAAGTTCTCAAAGTGGCACGAAGTGGAAGTGACAGCAACGCAGTTCAACCTCCTCAGAGTAAAATTGGCAACAGCTTTGAAGGTATCAGATTCCTTCACAACTTCCTAAATCCTCCCTAACTCAACTTTTTTCCCCCCTTTTTGAAAGAAGAGCGAGGTTGGCTCCCTCTAGGACTGTTGGGAACTCWTTTTTATTGCCTTAAATGCTGCAGAATTTACAAGCTGCCTTTTCACAAGTTGAGCCATGCACGCATGGTGCAGCAACAAAGCTTTAAATTTATTATGTAGAAAATTTAAAATAATTTCAAGAATTCATAAGCATGGATTATACCAGTCTATTATTACATAAAGTAATGGGATATGTACAAATACTAAAAAGGAACTCTGAGAAGGACTTAGTGTTTTAWATGTTCATCTTGCAAGGGAAAAAACAGTCTAATTTCAAGTATCAAGCATATGAAACAGAATAGCTGTAAAAATCTAGACCAGTAAGAGAAAAAAAAAATCCATTCTAAATCACAGGAGTCCCAATGTTTTTCTACATTTATTAACTSTAAATAATTCTAATTAATTGTCAGGCCCTAATCAAAATTCAATCAAATTCAGGTTACATCTTTGAGAGATTAAATTGCACATGGTTTATGGCAAAAGTTTATGAACTAATTATGGTAAGAAGTTGCCTAAAAGTARTGTTTGTGCTTCTAGCAACTCAGGTTGTGCCATTTCCCCACCCTGGTGGGTGACACTGAACAAAGCTGAGCAGCTGCACCCACAGAGAGGGTCCCCCTCAACAGGATGCCTTGGAGAAAGGAGATCTCACAATTCCATTGCTCCTTTTGCACCTGACAGAGGGCAGTGCAAATCCCAACAGGTAAAAACACTCGTGCTACAGCTTCTCAGACTCAAATTTGCCAAAAGACCTGCCTGGCATGAGGCTCAAACCCAGCTGCTTCATGAGAACCTCCCTGGGAACACCACATGTCTGTGACCAGCTTAATTCACATAAGCAAAAAATACAAGAAAAAAAAAATAGAGTTACACAATTATTTCCACTCATTTAGGTTTGGATTTTTTCCACTTATAGTAACAATGGAATCATAAAATTGCCTATGGAAGAAAAACAGTAACTTGCAATTTTGCATACAAGTTTTATTCACAGTGAAAAGCAATACCCACTGTTCCTACTGTTTTGCAAGGCCWTGTTGGATAGTTAATTTAAGGCTTTAAAATTGGTAGGATTACTCTCTGCATCAGCCTTGCTACAGACAAAGATAATGAGATTAACATACCTGAAAAATATATTTAGTGCTAGTACAGCAGGAGGCCACTAATTCGGAAGACAATGCTTTTTAGGTACTCTGTTATTTATGATCTCAATGGGCATAAAACTATAAAAGTGATTAATTTCATTTGGTGACTGGTCTAAGACAAAGGTCAAAGGAAAAATTATTTCTATTCAAACAAAAAAGGGGCTTTTCCTGCTGAAACCAAGCAATGCTAAATTATTTTTGGGGCAATAAAAACGAGGCATTTTGTTTCTGAGTGTTTTTTTAATCTGTAAAAGTATTTAGCTAACTAGAACTAGATTAGATCCCTAGTCAAGGATGACAAATAAAAWTTAATTGGAATGCAACCAATCCCAGAATTATTTCGCTAATGTCACTAGTATGTATTCAGACTAAAAATAAAAGTTTAGAAACAAGCATCAATGCCTACTATTCCCTCCAACCAGATAATGAAAATTTCTTACCGTAATGCAGAGTAGACTCCCAAAGATAAGAAAGAAAAGTCGGGATCGTAGTACAGATAGACTGAGGACACACAGTAGGGCAGGATATCAATGACACCAACTGCAATTATTTTGCCATCCAGCCAGTACTGCTGGTGGAAGGAGCCATAGCCACACTCTGGTCCATTCGGGGCATGCTCTGCCTAAGCAAGAACAAGAGAGGGTTGGAACCTGCTGACAAACTTTCAGGATGAAAAATATTTTAAGGAGAATTTTAACACATAAATAARTGCTGCGAGAAATTGCTTTGGCCAYCTGTATTAACAAAAAGAGGAAARRAAGGAATTTCAAAAGTWAGTGGGTCATTTATGACCTTTGCTGTACATGATGGGTAAACCAAACCACACATCCCAAACAAGAATTTGAAATACTCTCTGCCATGGAGCTGTTTTGGTACTGACAGAACAAACCAACATAATTCATCAATTTATTCATGCATTATTACAGGCAAACCTGGTGCCTCCAGCACTCCCTGGCACAGCAAGGAACTTCCAGATGCATTTCTCCACATCCCCAGCACTAGAAGCACTTCAAGCTTAGAAACTGAGCTCCTCAGAGCAGCCATTAAATTTACTTCAGAGCATTTATAAAAAAACTTGAACAGCTTATTCTTTATGTGATGTTTACTCTCCACACCTAACAAAACACCTTTTATCCAAGAACCCGAAACTGTGTTGGCAACAAAATCTGCAGAACCTCTTCTTTGYGAGCCCACATCAGAGCAAATCCTGCAAATCCACCAAGGGACTGGCTATTGTTGTGTGCTGTGGTTTTGGATGTGCACTGAAGTTTGACTCTGGATGGGGTAARGCACCTCGAGCCAGAAACCAATGCTTGGAGTTAAGAGGAAAATGATCTCCCTAATTTAAACTGTATTACACAACCRACTCTGGCGTGCCATTTTCTCCCACGTCAAGTTTACTTTAATCCTGAATTCCACTGTGCTCAACTTAATTATCCATCTAGTCATGTTTTTCACTGCATTGCCAGGTCTTCAGAAAGCTGCTTCTCACTCAATAAATCTGACAATATTGCCTKCTATTACCAACTGTTTTGCATTACAACAGCAGAAGGTGGGTTTAATCAAGTATTTTGATACAGTAGCCCAGACTGAAGAGATGATAGGCAGGAGAAGTTATTCTAATTGGTACCACATGTGTCAAAAGAAATCAGTCACRTGAACAAAAAATCATTTCAAGTGGCTTAACCAACCAGCAAGTCCCAAAATAAAGGCCACAAAACAAAATGTTTGCATTTTTATATAGTTATAAAGCAGAAAACTAAATGTGGAGCCATGAATACTCTAAAAGTGAAGTGATTAAACAGTTGAGAGCTCCATCTGCAGTATATGAGGACATTAAACTCAGATATAGCAGATTAAACTGGGTTTCCCTTGCTCAAGTAAAACCCATTTACCCAACAGTTATGGTTTCATTCAGTATCATCAACTTTTCAGCAGAGCCAAATGACATCACATGGTCAATGGTAAAACTTTTAAGCAGGGACACAGTCAAGTGAGAGATGTTCTCTAAGGATTTCTCAGCACAGGTTAAATTCCCTTCTCAGAGTGCAGTCAGTGACAGAAAAATGAAACATCTCAAAACCACAGGGAAATGTGGTTGGTAATAGAACACAGACTTGCTTAAATAAGTTTCAGTTAAAACAGATTTTCTTTCTTTGTCAAAAATTCATCATATAGGATTTAATGAACGTTAAAGAAGATAGTCTAAGCCAACATGGAAAAGATTTTCACTCAAAGCAAAGTCTTCTGGAGTTAAACAAATGCTGTGTCTGTGTGTGACCCCAAAACTGAACAGAGCCTGTATGGGTTTGGTCACTGGACCTCTGCAAACTGAAGCATTAACATCAGTTTAAAGTTTTGGTGCAGTAAAAATTGCAGTTATTTCACTAATAATGTGAAACGTTCATATGGCAGTTCCAGTGAAATGTCATGAACATAAGAGAGTCTATGTTCTGGAACAAACACCATGAGCACAGCACTGATTTTGGGCAAAACGTTCAAAGATCTCTGTTACATTAAGCAAATAACATTTGAAAAAGAGTAAGATTTCCCTCCTCCTTCAAAAATTCTCATACAATGTAATCCTTTGTAATGCTTGTCAGTATTACCTTTTCTCCCATTTCTCAATGAATACTTGGCTTCTTTCACTTGATTTCCCGTGCACTATCCAGGCAATTTGACCTAAAACAGGTCTAGAATATGAAACATTTTCCTGAAGCAGCTACACCATTTCACACCACTGACATCCCCACTGGGACTGTGTTTGCCAAGGGTCATGTAAAATRTACCAGGGACATCAGGTGAGCAAGCCCCACCAGAAAGGGCTTACCTTATCTACCCAAAATGATACACTAGCTCTGGAATCAATTTAGAGGGACCAAAGTATTTAAAATTAACAGTCTATAGTGCTATTTCAACACATTGAATTATTATATTGGTAATATAATATTGATATTGAAATTGAAATTGATATTTGAAAAATCCAGGACAAAAATTGAAACCACAGTTTTCTCTCCAATGTTTACACTGTCATGCAGAGAAAAACACAACATATTCCATTACATGTTAATTCTACCTGTCTTCATATCCTGCTCAYTAATGATCCCATGAACACATTTGATTGCTCATGTTTTAGAACCCATTATTAAAAGTTTAATTATTAGAACTGGCATTACATATTGCCCAATTAGTACCTCAATGTACTAATTGCTTACAATTGTACTTCGGTGATGGTGAGAGCACTCCAATTTCCTCAAAGCACACTGGTCTTACTTTAATATGAAGAAGTATTTTGATCATTATAATTACCAAAAATAGGTCCTGCCTGTACAATGCATGGTTATTTTTCTGTGGGAGGTTTCATGAAATTTTCTTATTTTCTACTTTTCCATTTTACCCTCTGCTGTGTATGGAGGGAAGAGGAAGATATTAAATCCATGCTAGCAAAGAAGAAAAAAAAAAAAAAGCCAGGAAACCCTTGACTTCTCCACTCCAGTGGAAATTATTTGCTGAATAAATGAAGTGATTAATTCCAGCAATTCCTTTCCAATGGCACACACACTTACACAAACCTGCCATATGGTAGATGTCTATCTCTTGGTTAGCAACACATTTCTTTTCATTTTCCTTTCCAGAACTCCTTCCTCCTTTCATTAGGGATTAGCAGGACACTCTTTACAGAACCACGTTCTGTGCCTGACTGGAAAATCTAGAATTTGAGCTATGCTGTCAACTACTGAGGCAGGACAGGGACATAAAGCTTAAAATGCTGAAAGGATGAGTGAAGTGAGGCCCAAGGGGCTTCGTCACCAGAGATGTTKGGTCTCACCACACAGACATCATGGGGATGTCAACACCACTGCAAGGAAAAAAAAAACCCAATTTGCCAAAATCTTTAAATGAAATTAGTTGTGGCTTTGGTCCTGAGCAGTGCATCAAATGTGAGTAGAATGTGACCTAGTAAGGTGATCCTGGGAATTACAGGCTTGTAATGGTCTCATTTATTAGATCTCCTAAAAACTAAAACATACCAATAAACAGAATAATAAATAATGCAAAGCAGAAGTGCTTTTCGAAGAGCAAAGATTGAGATTCACAAACATCTTTCTTCAGAATTCAAAAGCATCTCAGCATGGATAACAGGAGAACAAATGATCATTTGCATAACAGAAAACAGATCCCTTTCCATCCTGCTGGATCTATTACATTCTCCAGACTGGTGAATCAGTGAAGACTGAATGATGCTGCAGCAAACCAAGATGATGATTTAAAAGTGTTCAGGATGGTTGAAAAAGAACTGAATGTAAACAGCTCCAGAAAGATCCCATAAAATTGAGTGATCAAAAAGGCAGAGGAGATACCAAATGTTCATGAACCCATTTGTTTATGCATAAATGGATGCTGGGAAACATTGTGCTATGGGCACACTCAAAACAATGGGTATAAATCACCAGTTCTTCAAAGAGATTATTTTGACAACAGTTTTATAGAATTATCTATATAATATTTAACATCAGTCAAGATGAAAAAAATATTCTATGCAGAAATTAGAGAATAACTTGAGAACAAAACAAAATTATCCCTGGAAGGCACAATACCAGGCACATCTGAGTGCTGAGGCTGATTCCAGCTGCTGCTTCAGGACAGGACTTGGGCAGGACAAACCCTGAGAGGAGGATCAGTGATGCTGACACAACTGGCCCACAGCATCCTCCTCACTCACTGAGCACCAAAAAGCAAGAATCACCCTGAGCAGTTTGGATTTCCCTAGGAACCTTCTTCCATGAATTCTGCCACCCTGGCAGCAGCAGGGCCCCAGCCCACTCTGTTCTGGCTGAGTCCTGCAGACCATTCCCCTGTGCTCAACCATTACCACCATTCCATATTTGCCTGTGCAAAGTGATAAAAATGGTTAAATGTAGCCTCTAAAAATTAGGGATGAATAAAAAAACCACCTCAAATACTTCTCTTTACATTATGCTGTTTACTGCTAGAAAATTGCCTGGTTTTCTGCTACTACATACTGTATCATTTTTTTAAAGCATTCATTTTTTGTGCCAGAGTCCATAGCCAAAACAGAAACTAAACTGAATAATAAAATGAGGAAATAAAAAAGACAGGAAGAGTTTGTCTGTTCATACTATTTGMAGCTAATGATAACATTAAAAATTCAAAAAATTACAAATCGAAAACATGTAAGGTTTAAATTTTATTTTAAATTATTTTTGTTCAAAARAGTAAACAGACTACACACTGCTAGATTTGCTTGTGGCAACTGTTTCAGAATAAAGAATTTCAAGAATCCCTTGGCCTCTGATATATAACCCCTTTTATTTAACTTCATCTAATTGAAGACATCTGTAGTGGTGCCACACAAAATTTAATTCAAGCTTCGAAATGTCAATAAAAAGTGTCTGTAAGAAACAATATGGGTATAAACCTGGCAGGGCAGTGTGCATCAACATCTACACAGCCATACAAAATTAAGAATATAATGGCAGTCTGCTGCCTGAGTTGACGAGGTGATAAAAGCCCTTTTCCTATAAAGTCTAATGAGCTCTATTACTCTTCAGCTTTCAGGAATGTAAAGGCCAGTGGACTCAGCAGAGAAAAGCAACAAACCCTGCACACATGGATCCACTCAAAGTGCGACATATCAAATTACCAGTGTAATTACTATAACCTGACAATTTCATTACAGTCACGCAGTCCTGAACTCTTTAGGACTAACAAGAAAGACACTGCAAGAAATCCATGGCAGTTTGCTCCCTTGAAATGAAGGAACAGCATCTCTCCTCAACTTYTACCTCAAAGTTTAGCAAGTTATTTAATAATACATACTTTTGTTTTCATAGAAATAAATCAAAAACCAGGAAAGACAAGGGGTTTTGTGCTTGTGCTYCCTAATTCAATGCCATGAAATCCAGTGGTAGCTTTTTGACCAGCAAAGGAATCTTGAGGCTCCTTTGGATACACAGCAGGATCTTCCTCACCATTTGGGGAAACAGGAATTCTGTTTCTAGCAGCAGTTGGGTCTCTACAGAGTGTAGAGGACACTGAGACATTCATTAAATAAATAAATTAAATACATTCATTTCAAAACTCCCATCCTGAATGAAYACATACCTCCAGAGGGGAATCACAGAGGAACCGTGTGAACTGCATGAAGGTGGATTTGTCAGGAACACACACCCAAAAAAACAGTCCAAATATGCAAAGCAGAAAAAGAAAGAAAATTATTAGCAGTACTTTAGGATATATGAATAGTCAAATACACTTTTCAAACTCACATCTTTGAAAAGCATCATCAGACTTTCTTTATGGAAATTTCATTTAAACTCTTAAACTCTCACATTCTGGTAGTACAATAAGATTTAAAAATCAACTATGCAAAGTATTTGCTTTTCTATAAAATAGAAGATGRATCTTACAAATGTGATGTGAGAGAATTATCACCACGCAATACAGGTTTGTTTCTGGCATCCTTTATTTTAAATTACACCTTAGCCTTCTCTGACTTTTTGCAAGTCTTATCCCACTGTTCCATTGGTACCTGCCCTATCACCAAACCAAGGGGGCTGGGGCCCTCATAACTCTGAACTGAAATTAATTAAATCAATTTACATTCATAATCAAAAGCAAGCTCATYTGAAGTTTAAAGAAGAGGAAGAGAAAAGAAAAAGAAGTAAATCAACCTCCTGAAAGTGCAAGCATTTCAAACCTGGATTTTTTACTCAATACTCAATACAAAATTATGTGCTTCAGATAATTAACCAAAAAAGGCAGTATTTTAATGATCTGGAGCTGGTCCAAGATTCTTAAGAGTAATAAAATACAATACTTAGCTACTATCATTTACTTATTTGATACAAATACTTCCTTATTGGTGGACTCCACATTAAACACGTTGCAAAGTTCTGGCATGTGTTTAACCCCAAACATTGCCTTGTAAAATGAGTGGTTTAATACACAGTTTAATTCCCCCTCTTGTAATRGCTGGACAATTTAGTAAGTCAGCAGTTCCCACACTGGAAAGTAATAGCAAATAGGAATTTTTAATTAAAAGTTAGATAAAAAGAAAATATATAGACACCTACAAAAACCTGACTGTGGTCAAGATTTTGTTGTGAAGAATTCCATTGAGTTTTGAGATTAATAAAAGGGGAATACAAAAATCTTCTGCCTCATCTTGCTTATCTTGCTGATCTATGGATGGATGGGAAATCTATGGACAGACTTTATGGAAGAACACTGAATTTCTATATGGTGATGGTGAAGGGGATCGTGCATTTCCTATAATTTACCATTTCAGATCTAGTCACTACTACTCTAAATTACCCAGGGTTTGGAAAAACAAATGACTGTGGTATCTTAATTAAGTTCTAAAATTATTTTGGTTTGGTGGATAGGAAAAAACACTGATAATATTTAAAGAGAAAACAAGGTAATTAAAATTTTAAATTATTATTTTCCTGTAATAAAAATGCAGAGTTACAAATTCCTACACGGTGAGTGTACCAGGCCTTACAGCCAGTGGTTTCAGAAAGTGCAGGATCCAGAGAAAATAAAACATGTGCTATGGATTTTCATGTCAGAAGACCCCCAATAGTTTTTAACCTGTAACTTTAGCCTTACAGTGCAACCTGAACCCTATGGTGAGATCACYGAGCCCACGACACTTTTTAAATAGTTTTATCAATTCTCCAGGCCCTGCTGTCCAATCCCTTGGCTCTGAGGGTGAAGGGGGACTTTTTAAATGTACTTAAGCATAGCTTCTGCTGTTACAGATGCTAGGAAAAAAAGTCTTAGCTGCACTTGCATTTATCACAATCTTCAGGGCAAAAAAMCATGGCAAGTCTTGTTCTAAATTATTTCACCTGACAATACCTGGTAAAGTATGAGATTAGAAAATTTTCTTAAACTAGTTGATACATTTATTTAAAAAGAAGAAAACATTAAATTTGGTTTCTAAATTAACAAACTCATCTCATGCTGCAGGATTATTATGAGCACAATTAAAAATTACTCAATAAACCATGAAAGAAATACAGCCAAAAGCTGATGTTCCATGCAAAATAACTCAACATGTCACACAAGCACAATTAAAATTCCTTTCACAAAGGCATGTTTTTCTGATTTTAATTTCCAACTGATCTACATAAACTTTTAAAAGCTATATAATACATTAGAAATCCACATCATTTTTACTTTGGTGGAAACTAATTACAGCTGCCAGAAAGAATCAACTCAACAACRGGGAATTTAAACATAATTAATAAAACCAAGTGAGGAACACATCACTGAGAATGAAATCAGAGAAAAAAAGACAGAAAAAATAAAAGACAGGTTGTGTTCAGCCCAAAGCTGCTTGCTGGAGTAAAAGCACGTGCACAGCTTTAAAAAGAGGTAATAAACTCAAGTGTTAACATCTGCTCCCTTTACACAGGGGGAGGACATTCAGGGGCTAAAGTAGAATGGGTTTCGCAGGGATTTCTGGAAGTGAAGGTTCCTGATGTCACACAAGGACACCAGGGCCTTCTCAGGAAACCTTCCAGGTGTCACCAGCAGGAAYTGTGCAATTATCTGAGATATTCCAACAGAAGCCATCACAAAAAACTTCATTTATCATTTCCCCTTTGACAGTGTTAAGAGTTTGCTCGTATTTGCAATTCACTGTCAAGGAAAATGGAGCACTTGTCCTTTTTCTTGGGGCACAGAAGGGTGAGCAATGAATWTGGGATTTGGGCCTTCCTTCTTTTGGTTTTATTAAAGCAAATCCCTGAATAGGATTAAAACAAACCAAAGAATTTGGTTGCTTTATTTTTTATAGATGTGCCAGGCTCATAATAAAATACAAAATAATGACAAGTCATAAAATGTACAAATCCAGTGCATCACCTCTGTGCTGCTATATTTTAACTGAAATAATCTTCCTTACCCAAAACAGACTATTAGAATCAATATTAACCATAAGGCTGTGCAGTGAAAAAGTAAAAAAGAGTCAGACTTTCAGTAAGATTAGAACCACCAGCTAAAAACCCCTCCCAGGAAAAAGAACCCAAACCAAACAAATAAAAAAAACAGACAAAAAAAATGAAGTATTTAGGAAAAACACATCGAAATTGAGATGAAAAACGAACAAAATTCTTTAGCTATGTGTAGAAATCAGAAAAATGGAACAAAATGTAGCATTTTTACAGGAAAAGATGGTGCCAAAGCACCCCTGAACTGGCAATAAACTAAAGCCCTGCAGAGGGATCAAAGACTTATCCCTGGGGGGCTCTATGAAACATTTTCAACAATTCCTTACAAAAATACAGGCAATCTAAAACAACAGTTTCAGAGATATACACAGAACTGATGGTGAAGAAAGTGCCTTCAAAACATAGTMTTTAAGGAAAGAGAGATTTAAAACTTAAATGCATGTCTCAAATGTAGTTTTCAGTGCAAGAATGGGACTAATGAAATAATTGCTGATCCATTTCAGTCACAATTTCAATTCCTTTATGGAGTAACAAGTCACTTGGCTTCCTCACTCAGAAGAAACTTCCTCTGAGCATACTGGAGGTTTATCAGTCCTACAGTAAAGATCATTTAATTTTACATGGATTTAGAAAATGCAGTGGCAAGATCAAGAAGGACAATATACACTGAGAYACAAAAAGAATCTGAGCTGAAATTATATGACTGTGGAGAAGTTACTTAATTGTCTGGATGCCTAAATTCTTTGGCTCTGACAGGCATTTCTTTATAAAATCCATCAACCCACAGCACTGCAGTGCACACAAATAAACAGAAGGGATTGGGGTGGTATAGAAATATTCATTTTAAGCCTTTGAGTCAGAGCCACCAGAATGTGAAGTGCAAGTTCACTGCAGTGAGATGTTCTGCCATGGCTTCCACGAGCAGTATAAAAATGTGCAGTAGGTTAAAAATAACCACAAAGGCTATTGATTTTTAAGCACTCTCTCTCTAGTTTTTCTAACCTGAAATAGGTTAGAAAGACCTAAAAGTTTGCCACTGATACAAGTTTGGAGCTGATCAGAATGTGCTCTTTGCCATTTCCCAGACTACTCACTCATTTTTCTCTATTAGTTCAAGTGGATTCCTGGGAAGCAATTAAAAAGAAAAAAAAAAAGGGGGGAGAAAGAAAACAACCCACTATACGTATTTCAGTAATTTTTTGCACCTTTCCAAACAGTGTATCTTTTGTGTGTCCTGAAATTCTTTTCTTCCAAGACAAATATTTAGCTAAGCACAAAGCAAAGAGAGAGTCCARCTACTTTCACAGAGGGAACAGACAGATACTGTTTTTCTACAAGTTTGTCATTATGAAACCCTTGTGAAAAGTTAAATACGACGTTTGCTTCAGGAGGTCTMAACAACAATCAACTGTTCCACTCTTGCTCTTTCTGGAAACTACTGTAGAATTTTTATGATCTTTTATGGAAATGTTTTCTAACTGGTGTAGCTGCCACATTGCTTGKTTCAGTTACATTTCAGYTGTATTTCTTAAAGACAAAAATTGCTGTAAAAAGACTTGAGGATTCTGACACTGAGCCAGAAATGGGATGCCTCTGATGATACTTCATTAAAAAGAACTGCTATTCTATCCAAATTAGCCACTGGTTATTTCATTGGGGTCACAAAATTTCTTTCTAGGGATGAAAAGGCCAAAAAATGTTTTGACTGTATTTGTTTCATCCAAAATCTCTGCCTCCAAACCTCCACAGTTCCAAACCTGTATCTTTAATTTCATCCATAATATCATTTCATCTAAAACACAAAAGAGATTCAGGTGGAAAAATGTTTTAAAGTACCCATCTCCACATTTATAAATCATCCTGAAGCTGGGGTAGAGTTGGATCGCAACACCTTCCAGGTGATTTGTATTCTGCAAGACCCTCCCTGCATTTCTTACCCAGAAACAGGGATTTTTGCTGTTGAGCAAGAGTTAAAATATTTGCACATAAGGATTGCTCTTGGCAAAGCAAAGACACAGCTCCTTAAATTCTGGTCTCATCCAAAAAATCAAATYTTGGGATTATACAAGACACAAGTTCATTTTTATTATTCTCAGATCATTCTCCTATATATTAACCTACACATTTTCTCCCAGAAATATATCCAAATACTATTAAAAGTTACACAAATTAAAAAAAAAATACTCCAAATCCATATTTATCTATTTCTCTGTGCACGAATTCTTACAACAGCGCTGTATCAGCATTTGTTATTTTTCTAATGATAAAAGAAAAAAAATAGACAAACCCCCACTCACGTGATTTTTTTTCATAATTATTTTACTCTTGATCTACTGATGAAGCCCTGTACTTTATGCTCCATCTGATAATACAGGGAAACAAGGTTTATTCAATATAAAGATGCTCAGCCTACTCTCATCTCTCTGTTCATTAGAGAAGTCTCCTTTTCTGTTTTTTAAAGCTTTTGTGATTTGAATTACTTTTCCTTATAGCTTGACTCATTTCACAAAATAAATACAACTGCCAATAAAACAGGAAATAATCCAAACAAATCTTTGCAATTGATTATATTTGTGGGGTTTTGTATGTTACAGACACAGCTCCTCATGCTAAGCATGATGATATCTTCCACTGCTTTAAAAACAACAAACAAGAAAACAAGAAAAACAAAAATAACAGAAAAAAACAACAACAACAACAAAAAAAACCCACAAAAAAAACCCCAAAACAAAACAACAGAAAACAAAAACTAGTAACAACTTTACACTGGGAATGGGACATGGTGCCCATCCTTTTGGACCTGAGATAAAGGATAAAGATCCACATCCAGCACTTTCATAAAGGGACAGAAGAAACGTGAAGAATGGGACAAATACAAAACAGGATTGTTTTCAGAGCTTCCAAAAATGAGCAGTTCAGGAACTTTGCTAATTCAGGAGTAAACTTGGATAAAGTTCTCCAACAGGCAGGGATACACCTTTTTTCCACAATTCTATCTTACCTCATTCACAGCTATTTATACTTTCATACTTCACAGTCTACTGAGGTTCCCCCTAATTCCTCTCATATTTTCCAACAACTATAACAAGAATACATTTATTCCTAAAAGCAGAAACTTATCTCCTTCTTATTCAACAATTCCCAGCACAGCCTTTGCACCTCAGGCTGGTGGAAACCTCACCGTCCTTAACACACTTTTCTAGACCAAAATACTTCCATCATAGCAGAAAAATCAAGTTTYCCATCAGACCAGGTAAGACTTGGTACAAATCTAGTAAATAGCTCAATCTCTCTTGGCCTGCCTCCAATTCTTACATTATTATAATTAAACCCATTTGTGTCAGCAATTATAGAAAGGGCAGAGACTACTACTTATTGTTATGAGACCTATTATTTTAGAAAACAAAGTGAAATGGATTTTATGGCTTTCCAGAGTAGCATTACAGACATCTCACAAAAAAAAAAAAAGCTCTCCTTACACTTTTGAACTAAAGCCAAAAATTATGATGTGGTTTTACAATTCTACCTGGAAAACAGCCCCAGTTCACAAGGTTTCACTTCTGCAGGTAGTTCACTCTCAAGAACAGAAAAGCCTGATTACTTGACCAATATTAAAGCTGCACATCTGCAGTAGAAAGAAATGAGAGATCTGAGGCAGCAATTTCAACATTTTGCCAATGAAGAGGTTGTGCCACCTGCCAGAGAAMTGGAGAACTGCTGCTTGTTCAGAACCCCACAAGTATTTTAAATTCTTTTAAATTCTTCTAAATTCTTTTACATTATTTTAAACTATTTTAAATTATTTTTAATTTATTAGATTAGGATTAGYCTCCTGTAAACACCATTTTTAAAGTAGGTTTTATTCATATGGAATGTCCTGTCACTGAACCTCATAGGATCAGCTGGGGAGATATTTTTGTACTATTCTGTAAAGGTGAGTTCCAGTTGAGTAGCATGCTTAGCAATGGAATGGGAATAAAACTSAGATTTTTAAAACCTTCACCTGTTACATTATGCAAAAACCACAAAAAATTAAGGAGAAACATAGAAAAGGTACCAAAGGACTTTAAGGCAGAAGATGATTTTGCCATCATAAAACCTACTTCCATACCATCATTCTATTTCCAATGGAAATCTCCATCCACAACCACTACAAATCATGTTTAATCCCTCCCTCTTCAGCTCAGTTACCCCTGGTCTGCAGCCCACCACAGAAGTTCACTAAAACACTCAATGCTTTCCCTCACAWATGGCAATTTCAATATTTTAATATTCAGAATCGCTCAGAGAGACACCATCTCCCACCATTTAAGTGCATATTTTAAGAAGCTGTTTTCAGAAAGGTGCATGCAGTGAACTGTACCTCGTTTTCCCCACAGTCAGAAGGTGTGTCCTTGTGTACAGACATCTGATACTTGGCAAATAAAGAGGCAGATTGGCTGAAGGATGATTTGAACTGGGGGTCCTCAAAGGAGACAGGTACTAACCTCACCTTCAGAGCAAGGGAAATAAATTCTGGTTTGAGTGCATATCATCAGCTAATCTGCTTCTGAAGGTCAGGCTAGTGAAAGATCTCCTCCTATCCACTTCAAAGCCTCTGAAGTCAGTTTTTTGCCTTAAAAGTAAGAAAACTTCCTACTTTTGCTACTATCTAACAAATTTTAGTTTCATTGTACAGTCTCAAGAACTTCTAAAATGTTATATTTTTAATGGCAYATCACTCACTGCCCTGGTTCAAAAATTACTTATTCTAGCTACGTATACTGTTTCTCCAAATTAACTGTATTTTTTTTTGCTTATAGTAGTAGAGAGGTAACATCTGACAGTTCATTCTTACACCCCACCTGGTGTGGGTGTAAGAACCAGCAATGAAGTGTAATTTAGGAGTGCAGAAACCACTTTTTTAAAGGCTTAAATTGAAAGTGAAGAGAATTATTTAATTCTGGTGAACCTTAAACCAACAATTTGTGTGTATGATAAACTTTTGCTCTCGTGTTGGCCCTGATCATTGTATCCTTCTTATGGAAGCATTCAAACCAAAGCCAACGAGACCAGTTATGAGGCTGAGGATCCAGCTGGATTTAGTTTTGAAGAGATTTGTATTTTTAAGGCTCATCTCTGTCTCCAAAARCCTCACCCTCTCCATCTCTTACCCAACAGCATCCCCTTGTAACATCCATAACTTTTCTGCCTGCACTAAAACCAAATCTCTGCAACACTCATGAAGAGATTTCAAAAGTTTGCACTTTCAGGATGWTGATTTTATTGGATACAGTATTTTACAAGCTCCTGAATATAAAATGGATATAAAGTCCACATTTGTTTCTCCTAGAAACAGGACCTGTGAAATGGAGAGGAAGCTTTGCATAAAATTAAATTTGGCCTTCTGACCTGATTTATGGTTGGTTTATCAGGTGGGTCCTTGTGAATAACCATCTGGTAACGTTTATAGACCTGGTAAGACTCCTGAAATGTGGCTTTGAACTGTGAACTTGGTGGAGATGATCTCACCACCCTCACCTTCAGAAGAAGTTAAACACATTTATTATTAAAATATCATGCAACAAATATATATTTATTCATAACACAAACATCACAACAGAGAGAAATTTTAACCTCCACCATAAGGGCMATCACAATTTAATTAATATTAGCAAATGGCCTTCTAATTCTTCAGCTACTGAAGCATTTTTTATTTACACTGAATAAAGAAGGCTTTTAAACTGCAAATTAACTACAATTTCTATAGAAGAACTACACAATAATATCATCAGATGGTAGCAGACCATCATTTTAAAGAGATTTTCTGTGCTAATTAAAATATTCTCTTGTAGTCTCACACTACAYTGAAAAATATTCGAAAGACTTGGAAGACTCAGATCTCTGTTTTTCATCCAAAGACCATGTTTTCATGGCAACTAATCCCAAAGAGACTTCTTGGTATTTTTGAAATTGAAAGAGGAAGCAGTTTCCATACTCAACTACAAGTTAATGATAATAAGGAGTTATCGTGTTCACACTCTCACTGTTAAACACACAAAAATGAAGTAATTTTAAAAAATAATCTMTAAATTAAGAATAGTTATTAGTAAAAATTATTTCCCCCTAAGCAAAAGAATGCTACCACATGAGCAGAAGTGCATGTCTTTTCAAATATATTTAAGGTCATATTAATTTCAAAAGCTAAATAATTTTCAGAATTGTTCTATTTTCACAAAGAACAAATTCCTTTTTAATCCTTTCAATGCTTTCTGCACTAAATGAAGATGTTCAGACAAATGAACATCATGCATGTGTTAAGCAACTCATCAGAAAATGTGATGGAGTTAGGGAGATGGATCAATTTCAYGGCTTCTAGTCAGTAAATATTTTCATTTCCAGCACTATCACTGAAAATTATCAGGAAAATACTCATATTTGGCTAGTTTTCCAAGTTATGGAAAAAATAACAYGAAAAATGGTTTTACGATTAACAAATGTTAGAAAGTCCAAAAGTCTTCCAGATTACTGTCTCTAACAGAGGTAGAGGCAACCAGTGTATTGAGCAAACTTTTTACTCTCATTTTTACAGCTTTCAAAGACACCAACATGGACCAATGACATATGTAAAGAGCAACTACCTTGTTATCTATTTACTTTTATGTAGTTACTGCTTCCTTGTCACGTTTCATTACCTTAGACAGTTTAAGTATTCATATACTGCAAACCTAAATACTGAATTTCTCTCATAATTCAATATTCACTTAATTCAAAGTCTTTCATTTTTACATCAGACTGTATGAAATTAATTTGCAAGTTATTTTAATAGCTGAACTGGCCTCTGCTAGGACTGAYTGCAGTGCAAGAGTACCCTCCAGTGGTTAAACAGAGCCCAGCTACACCATACSTGTGTCCTTTATATATATATWTTTTTAATATACATATATACACACCTATTTTGCATATTTACACCTATATAACCATCCAGAATCATATATAATTCAAGATTTAAACCACAACTACTCCATAAAGTCATAAATATAGATCTAAGATTTTCAAAAACTCCTTAACTAGACTTTTTCTTGATTCCCAATGACAGTGAACAAGACATTACCTCTAATTTGTGTTGTGCATCATCAGGCAAAGGAGCAAAAACAAAGTCTTCAATGTTTTTAGGTTGRTTTGTTTTAGATTTAGAGTTTTGCAAGAGGAAAGCTTGATCTCCTTGAGAGCCTTCTAATGTGCCCATCTGGTTCTGCAGGAGTTTCTGTAGTTTTCTCTCTTTCCTTATGTCCTTTGCTTTCCGACACAGGGGCTTGCTCAGATCAGCCCCTTTCCCTACAAGGGCACAGGCAAAGAGTTAAACACCACATTTAAAAACAAACAAGCAGCTCTTATCTAATCCCTGAAAAGAAATGGCTAAAATCACCATTTATTGCAGACTGTGCTCTGACCTCAACATGGCCTTTCACACTTACAGCTACCAGCACCTGATGCCAAGCTAATGCACTGATTCTTCCACAGCTATTTAATGCAGTACTTTAATCTGGATTCACCTTGACCATTTCACCCCAAAGCCAAGGGTATTTAAAAGCYTGAAATACTGAAGGACAAAAATACAACCACAAAACCTTGCAGTCAAATTCACAGAGAACTGTTCTGGATTCAAAGCCCATGTGGYTACACCACAGACTTCTGCACCCCAAAACAAAGCACTTATTTTTTGTCAGTTGGAATTCATAGGCAGGATGTAGAAATATTGCTAACACTACTAAGGTGATGTAATGGAAGAGTAACAGGCCACAGAAGTTTGCACCTTTGCTTAAAATGATCTTCAGATTGTCTGGTTTTAATTAATCAATTCACTTTTATCAGTTTAACAGATCAACCATTTCTAAAATTCTATTTGCGAAATGGTATTTTCTAATAGGAGAAGTCAAACCTATGCATTATTTCCCATTTTGATCCATTTGTTTTTTACTAAATAGGTACAAGTTTTAAATCCACAGACACGAGGGAATTACAGACACTGTGACCTGTCCTCAGGCAAACAAGTCAGAGGAAGAGTTTATTTAAAACACTGATGATACATTKGAAGAATGAGGATTTCATCTGTATCAGGATCTGTTTCATGTCTCGTATCTGCTCTAAGTYAGTAAGAGAAACTTCTTGAAGCAGTGACTGTGCCTACACAGACATAAGCAAACCTTCTTTTCTATCTGAAACTGTGCAGAAACAGACCATTATTCCTAGGGACAGTGACCTGTTTTGTTTATAAAGGAATAAAAATGCAATTAAACAATCTTTCTACAGGTTAAGTCTACATTTTCCAAGACGAAAACTAAACATCTTTCTGTCTGGAAAGTTTTAAACTAAATTTGACCTGTGACACCAGCTAGCATAAAAAAAAAATCATTAAATAAGCTTTCTGATTAATTTCTTACTCATTTTTATATTTCCTTTAAAACCTCCAGAAAGAAGCACACTAATGAACACTTCTGTAAAAGTAAATTCTCTTTTTCTGAAATGCACTAYAATGTTACTCATCTGCATTTCCAGTGTTTACACTTTGACCCAAAGCTATTCTTAACCCGAAGACCTCACCTCACCTTTTCCAATGCACTGGCAGGTTTTCACATTCCTATTCTTTACCCAAGTCTGCCATCTGCTGTCAAGAGCAACTTCATTTCTTTCCAATACTAAATTTACATAGGCCAAAGTTTTCCATTTATTATTTAAAAACAAGAGAGCTTCGAAAATTTGCATAATAAAAGACATAGAATTGATCAACTATATAAGGGTTTGTATAAAAACAAAAYATAAAATACAGTTTTAATAATTCTGCAATAGTTTTCCAGGAGTATGTAAGAGTTCTGTGCAACACTACTGTTTTTTCTGATCAAGCCTTTCTGAAAACTTTCCTTTTCATTTAAATGCAAAAATTGATTATTAAGCTGGTGAACATCAGATCCAGTAAGGATGAGCATTTATTAAGGAAAAACATTATTTTACTTGAAATCAGCCATGCTATAGAAAGAGACCAAAGTACTTTGTTCTCCTCAATTGTCATACAACATGCAACAGGTGAAATCAGGAATCAGTACGATGTCCCAACAMAGGCAGAAACTCTGAAGCCACAAGTCTCCACCAGGATTTTCCCTACCATCACTCACCAGTTAACACAATTCAGAAAATCCCCTTTATTTCCCAAAACAGGCTAAGCAAAAGAGGAAACACGATCTGTTAAGACAAGGCTGCCTTACCCATAGCCTCTGAGATACCAAGTGTCTGAGAGCAATTCTACCTTCAATGAATTATTCTSGCAATAATCCACCCACCCCTTAGCACCTTCCTTCCAGAAATCACCCATATCCCTAAAGAAGGCAGCCATTGAATCACAGAATGGTTTGGGCAGGAAGCAACCTTAAAACTCATCTCATTCCACCCCTGCCATGGCAGGGACACCTTCCACTGTCCCAGGCTGCTCCCAGCCCCAGTGTCCAGCCTGGCCTGGGACACTGCCAGGGATCCAGGGGCAGCCACAGCTTCTCTGGGCACCCTGTGCCAAGGCCTGCCCACCCTCATCATAAAAAAGTTCTACTCTCAATCTCCCTCCTTTGGAGTTTCAGWTCCCAGAGATTCAGTCTTACTTAAGGTGAGGATAGGAAGGTAAAGTAATCTTTTACTGTAATAAAATAGAAATTAAAATATGACAAGTAACATCCAGCACCTCTCAATTTTCACTGCAATCCCATACATTGCGAAGAATAAAGTAAAATAATTATTAATTTACTAAGCAAGATAAAATGAAGGGATTTCAAGAAGATGTGAAATGATAGCATATTCTAATTACTAGCAGAAACGTGATTACCTGGTTTAGGTGGTGCATGAACAGCTTTAGCTGAAYGTGATGGTTCTGCAGGGACTGGTGTGTCTTTGTCTGCACAGATCTGAACAGAATCCGGTTCCACCTTCTGCACATTCCCCTCTCCTTTTGTTTCTCCTGAGTCCTTATCTTCATTGTCCACTCCCTCAGCGTGATCCACAGCCAAGGGAGTCAGTTCAGACTGACTGACTTGAGACTCACTCTTGTATGGAAAATCACACGTGGCCACATCCTCTATATGGGAGTCCATCGGCTCTTCTGTAAATAATGATACCCTGCATGAGGGAATTTTTCTCTGTACAACCACAGCTCATACTTTGCACAATTCAAATTAATATTAATTTAACTATTTTCCAATTTTACAAGTCTTTATCCAACAGACAAAGTGGCTGTTGCAATAGTCTGAAAATAAAGTTTCCTTTATGGCCCCAAGTTATGAACACCAACTCATTTATGARAACAGTTTTATTTACTCTACTAAAATTGGACAGTCAGCTATTTTCAGCTACTTCTGAATCAAACAAAAACAAAAAAAAAACGAAGATCTAAAAGCCTAGCATATTACATATACATAGAAAAGAGGCAAATTATAATGATTCAAACACGAGTTCCACCACAGAGAATCACTGGTGCTGGATAAATGGAGGGYGACTGTTCCGTCACCTGGAAAAACCTTCTTTGTTTGCTCTTCCTTTTCTCTGCCACCAGCTGTTCTGATTAGTCCTCCCCAGATTATCAGTTTCATAACAGAAGTAAAAACAGCATCTAATTCTCYACAGCACGCAGCTACAAAGTAAGGACATGCCCAGGATAAAAAGCTGGTCTATGGGAAAAGCCAGGAAATATTTTCTTCAATAACCAAAGTCACCTGCACAATCTGGCCTCCAGGCTATTTAAGTGCCCTTGATTCAAAACACTGCCAGAGGTCTACACACAAAATTCAAAGCCCATYTGACCACTCCATCAGGTATTTAATCCTCCTTCTACACATCAGAATTGGTTTTCAAACACTCAAGAGCTTCTTACCTTCACTCGCTACTTTCGAAACATCTCCTTTGGAAATGAATTTCAACATTTTCTTCAGAACTTTCTTGTGAGATTTAGAGGCCTGAAAATGCAAAGCCTGGCACCTAAAATAGATAAAAAGACCATTTCTTTTGTGAAAGATTCAGGGAAAAAAGAAAAAAGTTAAGGAGCCACTTATAAAAGTTATAATCTATCTGCAATTTCTATTTTTTTCTTAAGTTTGCCTATATTAAGTGGTCAAATATTTTATCAGCACTTTTGAGTTAATGAAATTACATTGTCATGCACTGAATAATATCAGTCCTTATGGCAYGTTTGAGTGTGTACCTCTATAATCATTAAAATATGAGTGTAAGTCTCCCGTATTTGGGCTGCTAAAGTGGTGTTTGTAAGTTAGAGACAAGTTTCCTCACAGGAAAATAYCCCAGAGTGGCTCATGTCCCTTTGCACAAACCCAACAGCATAAATTTATTACTAAAGTATCATTAAAAGTACATAAACTTTTGAAGCATGATGTATTTCAAACAGTAAAAAAATGGTGGAACAGATTTGAAGTGGTCAAATCCCTTATGAAAGTGCATTTTGAGTCTCTTACCTTATTGTGTATTGAGGACAACAYGTTTGATTCATGATAGGTTTGTAGACATATTTTCCACTCCTGAAAAGAATTATAAATATGCTTTAATTTTTTGTTGTTTATACTACAAAACAAATGAAGCTTTTTTCATTAAAATCACATCAAAATATTACAGAAGTAACAAAAGTCAAAGAGCAAGCTCTTCAGCTCCTTGCTGATAGTACCATATTAACCTAAAATCACTGAATATTTTCATGTTTCATAGCATCATGTTACAGAAGGTCACAGAGCACTGGACAAATAGTTCAATTACTAATGTATCTATACCTGTTTCTACCAATCTAAATTTTAAATGTGGATTCCAACTTTTATCTCAACTGACAACATGGCTTTGTATGCTCCTTTTCCATTTACCTTCGCCATCCTCTGTCTATGAGATCCTGGTAATCTTGAACTGTCATCGAATGTGCCCACATACCTGAAATAAATAATGCAGCAACACATTTGACTGACCACAGGTTAGCTTTAAAATACAACAAATTGTGCAGAACTGGCTGGAGCCCCCCTGCTCTGGGACAGTCTGGGACAGCTGGGGGTGCTCACCTGGAGAAGCTAAAAAGTGCCTAAAGAGGCTCCAGGAGAGCTGGAGAAGGAACTGGGGAGGAGGGATAGAGGGACAGAACACAGGGAATGGATTCACACTGCCAGAAAGCAGGAGCAGGCAGGAAATTGGGAAAGAATTGTTCTTTGTCAGGGTGGGGAGGCTCCAGCTGCCCAGAGAAGCTGTGGCTGCCCCTGGATCCCTGGCAGTGCCCAAGGCCAGGCTGGACATTGGGGTTTGGGACACTCTGGGATAGCTGGAGGTGTCCCTGCTATGGCAKGGATGGGTTTTAATGTCCCTTTTAATGTCCCCATTAAAACCCACTGGATGGGTTYTAATGTCCCTTCCTATGCAAACCAACCCGTGATTCTATGATTACTGCAAATCTGAATAGCTAACGGCCACTTATGCATAAATGTCTTTCAGGGATTTGACATGTTCGTAAATACAGTAACTACTGACTTCAATAATCACATTAAGWATAAAAACCCCAAACCCAACACAAATCTTGGCATTCAATCAACTGTATTTCTGCGACCACACAAGCGCAAAGTTCCCCTCTGCACCTCCCACCTCCCCAGAAACAGACAWGGAAAACAACACAGAATTGCTGGTCAGTTCCCTCACGCTCATTGGGGAGCTCCGGGCCGTAAGAGCTGTTCCAAGCTCGCCGCCCTCCCTCAGCCCGGGGCGGCCCGCCCGCGGCCCCGCTCCCGGCCCGCCCCGCCCGCACCGTGCGACAGGTTGCCGGTGTCGCTCCTGCAGTAGCCGCAGCGGTAGCCATCYTCCCCGCCGAAGAACTCGACGATGCTCGGGGAGCCGCCGGCCGCCGCCATCCCCGCCCGCCTCAGGTCAGCGCCCCGGGCCGCCCGGAAGCGCCAAGCGCCGCCATCTTTGCTGCGGGCAGCGCGCGGGSGRCGCGCRCAGGAAGAGGCGGCGCCGCCATGTTTGGCGCGGGCAGAGCGGCGGCGCTGAGGCGGCCGGAGGAGCCCCKGAGGAGMCCCTGAGGAGACCCGRRCCCGGCCCGATTCCGCCCATCCCGACCCCGCTCACCCGCGGACACCTTGCCCCGCGCCGCGCCGCAGTAGCCGCAGCCGTAGCCYTCCTTCCAGCCCTTGTACTCCACCACGGCGGCGGGCATGGCGCCGGCAGCCCCKCAGTGCCCCCGCCCGGCTGCAGACAGCACCGCGCCCGGCCCGGCCCGGCCTCCCCCGCGGGCGGATTGACGGTAAAACATCGCTTCCCGCTCTGCTGCTCCTCGCACCGTGTCCCCTGACCAGCTTCGCACCCCCCACAATACACTCTAACAAAGCTGCAAGGCTGGACGGATCCCTGTGTACCCCCTCAACTGCTACAGCAGAAAAAAGGATRGAAGAAATCCTGAGCTCTTCCACGGAGCGTTTTCTGGTAATGGAACAAGATTTTATATATTTTTAAACTGGCCTGCCTCRGTTACCAAATACAGGAGGAATTTAGCACTTTCCCCTTCCTTTATTCTRTCTCGAATTGAGACCGAATTTCCAAACTCACACCTGTATTTCCAGAACAGTAAGAACAACAGGGCAGTGTCAACTCTCCTGAGCCCCCAAAATGAAGTTGTATAAATGGATTATCCCAGAATGAATGGTTAACCATGTGAATTCCATTTGCTGCTGCCGGGGAGAGACAAGGGAGCAAAGAAGGGACACAGTGTTTTCCTTTTTACTAAGAAAGATCATGAGTACCAGTAAACTTTATATGAAATAGTAAACTGCGACATAATAGATAAATATCCCCATGACAAGTCTAAACTTCACATTGCTCAAAAAAGCTGTGGCTGCCCTGGAAGTGTCCAAGGCCGGGCTGGACAAGGCTTGGAGTAACCTGGTCCAGTGGAAGGTGTCCCTGCCCATGGCAAGGTATAGAACAAGATGATCTTTAATGTCCCTTCCAACCCAAACCATTCCATGATTCTAAACAAAGCAGTTCATACAAAGTATCAAGGTCCTCCAGAAAAAAAAATTATTTTACAACATATACATATAAAACATCTGTTGAAACAAACACTTGGATGTATTTTCTTTAAGGCACCTAAGGAGAAAAAAAAAAAGAGAAGACAGTAAGACAATATGCATTAAGATCTGGARCTAGACAAACAACTGTGACAGTAAAGGAATTCAGTTCTATCATTTAAAGAATTTTAGGGAAGCAGGAAGGGAAGACAGTCAGGGTCCCTCTAAGTCCTTCTTCAGGCTATTTTATTATCAACATCAGCTGTCAGGAAGTTAAGAAATCAAACACAAAAACTAAGCTAGAATCCTTTCCAATGCTGCTGAGTATAAAGTTCCAAAAATTAACTCAAGTCCATCACTTAACAGACCATCAAACACAATAACAAAGGTGGTTTTTTTCCCAGCTAATCACTGCATACAAGGCTAGATTACATTTTATTTCATGAAGAGGGCAAGAACACAATTCCAGATGTTACAGTCACCCTACTTACAGTTCTATGTTTCTAAGTGACATGTGGTTTCCCTAAAGTTCTTCCACATGAATAAGGAACTTACTAAGTTTGATTTAGTTAAAGAACTTACTTGAGTAGTTATTCTGTCTCCATTTCATCTTCTGTTGTCTGAGAAAGAGGAGTAATCATGGCTTCTGTTATCTGAAATATTTCTATGATTTCCTGGTTAGAGATGACAGCAGGTGTCAGTTGCCAGAGCTGAACTATTTCAATTTAATTACCACCAAGCAAGCTATAAAGTTTCTGATACTAAAGCACTATTTCAAATTACTACATTTCTCCTGCATAGTCTGAGTGAGGGACAAACGAGAGGAGATAGATGTGTGCTCAAAACTACTTTTTGTCTAAGACTCATTACAAACAATGAGGAAATTGCACAAAGAACTTCCCCTCCATAAACAAATATAGTATGCAAGGAAAGAAACAAGAGAGTGTATTTACCCAGGCTTTGTGTATAACAGTAAAGGCAAGTCAGTATGCAGCTCAAATGCACTTAAACTGACCAGGCTTCAAAAAATCAAAGCTGGAATGGCTATCCTGATTCTGTTTTCTGGCAGCTACAAACACCCCTCGGATTTGTGACTGTACTGGTTTCCATAAGGCCAAAGGCAGTGTTACTGCACCCAGGAAAACCCATTCTCCACAGCACAGGTAACAGCACAGAACCCAGAAGCTTAAGAAAAAGAGAGGATTCAAAGTGYTCCCCATGGTACCTTCCATTCTTTCTGGTCCAGAGTTACGATGACCTGGTTCCGTGCTCCAGTTCTGTTGTCCTCCTCCCCTCCCCTGGTCGGTTTTGTCGGCTCTGATCAAAACACAGTATTTTCAAAATTTACACTTGCAAAGTCAGTTTCCACCAGSAACACAAAAGCTCCATAAAAATCAATTCTACATGTCCCACTCAGTCAGTCTCTATCAACAGCCTGTACYATGCACTGCTTATTTCCTTAGTCTCACCTCCTAAAAAGTTAGGAATTAAAATTTTGCAGAGTCCTAGAAGGACCTAAGTAATTTCTTATAAAATCCCCCCAACGTCCTAACCCTATTGATATCCCATGGGAATGAAAGCCAACCTCCTATGCAGGATAACATTTCCTTTCCAACTGTATTGAACCTGCAGCAGTTTCCAACTCTRAGACAAGAGAGTTCTTACACACAAAAATACCTTTTTTCAGCRAAGTCTAACAATGTTCACATGCTTATTAGCAAAAATGCAGCTTAAAAGGAAAGGCAGCCTTTGGTTTCTATTAATAGAATTAATATGTATCCATCAGCATAATAAGGTCTTTTTTCCATATATTGATACTTGAAAAGACTCGATCCTTTCAGCTGCTTATAAATCTCTTCATTCCTTCAACTTCATTCACTGCATATCCCCAGATAAAACTACACCTAAAACTTTGTGAACACATAATATGTAATGTTGTAACAAATACCAGAGTATTTTAAAGCTAGATTTTACCTATTATTGGCAATCCATCTTCATCCAGCTTTATTTTTGCAAGACCATCCTAAACAACAGTGGGATTTAAAGTTTCATAACTTAGAGCTTTCCAGTTAGGATAATGCACTGAAATGTCATATTTTTACTTATTACATATTATGAACTGGTACATATATTGATAAAGAACCTTCATTGGCATACCATGTAAGAAAAAATTTATTTTATTTTAAATTCTATTTTAATACAGCACTTCTGCCAAAGAAGGCAGCCCATAAAGAACAGTGGCCAACTGTTAGATTATAGGAGTTTTGCTTTATTAAAATCATTGTTATTCTCTAAATACCCTTGAGCTAACCCTTCATAGTAACATTTCTATTAAATATAAAACCTCAGTTTGTCAAAATATCCTTGTCAGTTTCTGTCTTTTTTAAAATTAATTTTATTTATTAGACAAACTAAGCATAGTTCAAAGTGCAAATCCATGGATTCAAAAAGAATAAATTGCACTTGTTTTCTACAGCCTCAGTAACTCTTCTGAACTCTATGACTACTCTTTATATCTAAAATGTGAGGCAGAATATTTTTTGAAAAGCATATTGACTGCAAAAGTATCACTAATGTTTTGTTGGTAAATTGATTGCAGTACAAAAAAAATAAGTCTGTCAACTGTTTTCTTTTTTATTCGAGTACCAAAATATCACAGACTGTTTGCAGTAAGTAACTTAATATTCCTCATAATTAAATTTTAATTCTTCGATATTGAAGCCAGAAATACAACACGTCAGTATTTCTAGGTAATCCTAGTATCTAAAGTGGTATTTCAAGAACAGGTTATGCCTTACCTTGATAAGGAAGGACACATGAAATATGTTTTCCATGGTGTGTGCAAAAGAGTTTGGATCAATCACAAGATCAAAGAAGGAAATMGGTGTATTAGCTGGGGATGCAAAAATGGCTTTGTTAAACAAACAAACAGGTGGTACACACAGAGCTAATGTAAACACAAACTTAAAAGAGCAAGTACACCTGTCAAAAGCTAAAAGGATGTTTGTCAATTTAGTTACAATGCTGAATTCCCAATTGCCTGCAAAAACTAATAGTTCTATAAAGTAAATTATTTTCTTTCATCTTTCCCCCCCACAGATCCATACACAGTGATTATTTGACTGCCTTCTAAAAATGACAGGCATCAATCAGGGGAGAGAATTTACATTTGCTTTGCAGTCAAACAACAGCTGATCATCATCCATAAAAAATACACAGATGGTATATGTGCTTCATCAAAGATTTCTACTTGCAGACTTCACCTCATTTCGCCTCTGCAGTTTTACCACTCCAAACAATACAAGACAGAGAATATTGATTTTCTCCAGTTAATACTTAATTTAATCATACTTACGATCATTTTCAAAATGAGTTTGCAGTATTCTCAAGACCCTCTCCACTTCTTTTTCTGTAGCTTCCTGATGAGATGTCTCCATTTTTTTTAACTGGGAAAAAGAAACAAAGATCAACTTCAAGTAACTGTTGACCAATTACCAGAATAGGCAAAGTACCTTTTTTGAACACATAACACAAAAGTTGAATTTTTCTCCCTASATGCAACATTATAAACACACTTATGCAAACGTGACAAATTTGAAGAGTTTTAGGGTTTCATTTCCATTTTACAATATCGAATGGAAAAGGCCCAGCTTGTATATTTTGAGCCCACATACAGGTGTACACTTGCTTTTCAACAGCTTTGTGGAGCTGGGTTACACAGTGCTGCAATCTGTAAGTTTAATGAAGGTGATCATTTACAAGCACCTCACAAACCCTCCAGCTCCTCTTCTTCCCAGTACAGAGTAACAAATCCTTTCTGTCACTATATGGATTGAGAAGGCTGCCTTTCAAAAGACAACCACTTGCCTCTGTATCTTGGCATTATGACAGCCTGAGCTTCCTTGTAACAACATGGTTTATGTTTGCCATGTTTCAAAAGCCTCTCAGTATTCCCAGACTTTTGCCTTTCTGCCAGCGTATTACAAAGAATAAGGAAACAGCAGAAAAAACAGTGGTTATGTGAGAGCTAATTAGTTTGCTGCCATTAACCACATTTCATTGCAAATGCCACACCCTGTCAGACACTTTTTTAAAAAAAAGTGGAAACCACACTAATATAAGAAGTTTCTTTTTTGTTTCCTTTCAGAGCAACAGACATCAGAACAAGTAAGCTCATTACAACTTGAAAAAWGAGCTTGTGAACCCTATTTCTGAAYATGCAGTTGGTCTGTAAATTCTATTTCCTTCCACTCAGTGAAATACTGCTGTTCACACAAAACAAACCAAGAAGTCTGAATCTTTTAACAGAAACTCATGAGAAAAGGGGCTAATGTGTTTCCACTGGCTGAGGAGCCAACCAAGGATTGTTTGCAATACCAACCAAGGAGTGCTGGTAATCACACACTGTGAAAGAACAAGAGAAAGAGCTGTATGAAGGTAGAGCAGAACTTTTCTGGGGCAAACGTCTTTGTTCTGGCTCCTGGAGATAAGCACAGCACAAACTTCTGTGGATCTTGGATGCTCCCTTCCCCTTAAGAGTCGGACATCACAAATACTACAGTTCATAATTACAAACCCCAAAACAACACAAACTGAAAGATTTAGAAGTCACTTGTAATAACTGTGCCAGAACAAAGGGTTAATAAAGGTAACACTTTACAAACCTGAGCAGGCATTGCCCGTTCTGCTTTTCCTCTGCTGGCTTTTTTCTGCCTCTCAATCCGTTGCTTTGGTACAGGAGGCTCAGACTTGAAAGATCCCATCCTAACCAAAATACAAAGAACACATACATGCAAATTTGGCTTACACTGTATGCTCAGGAATCTTTGCACTGAGAAGTGGATCTCCTGAAGAAAGTAYAAAGTGATGACCAATAACTGAAAATAAAGCTTCACCACATTTAGAGATTTCTGCGAAGAACCAGCCACAAAAGTTGCTCCCAATATCAACACATGCAGAAAAATGTATGCAATTATTCCAACTTTCTTTTTAGACTGAAAACTTCAAATCTACTTATCTTAAAACTAATTAAGAAATTAAACAGAATATACAGCTCATATCCTCCAATATCCTCATCTGAATTTATTACAAACACTTCTGCCTGAAAACTCTCTGAAGACACTATTTATCTCTTTTTCATCTATTGTTGAGTTTCTCTAAGTTCAGGTCTRCCACAAGTTTTTAAAATACAGTCTGAGAGGACTGGCCAATTTAGCTTTCATTTGTCTCAACACTGATTGTCAGRGGCATGTGGGGGAAGGGGTGCACACATGAGGCTTGCAGGAGACAGCCAGGAGATGGGCAAAGCCTTGTCTCWGGGGTGACTTCACTTGGCAACGTCTCGCATGGCACAGGCAGTCAGCAGGAGACACTGCACCCCCAGAGACGCTTCAGCAATGGGACGGTGAGAGGTCTCCACCAATGGACTGCACAGGAAGGTTCCACTGGACCAATTGTCTCCTGCCAGCAGGCAGACTTTGGGAGGAGCCAGGTGCCATAGAAAGTAACTGCACCACTGGCTTCTTGGCTGGGGGGTTTTGTGCTTTTACCRCTAGCTTCTGGTCGGAACTTTGGGGGCTGGGACTTTTACTGACTTGCTTTTCCAACTTGTGAGCTTTGGGCTGGGGCTTCTCAGATAYTTGCTTTTTGACGTTGGTTTGGGGGGCTTTAACTGTGCTTTTTGTTTTTGAGCTAACTCACAGTGCTCGCCGGCTGGGCCCACTTGCCCTGGCCCTAGCCTCTTTTTGCCCTGGCTCTGCCTTTTAGCTCTTCTGCCCTCGCTAGCTCTCCTTCACCCCTGCACATCAGCCTTCCCTCCCACTGGGTGCTTGGCAGGAACGCCAGCTGCCCTCCRAGCCTCGACYGCAGCATCTGCCTCGCCCCACTCCTTCACCTGCCCCAGCCGCCGCCTGTCCTGCCTCCCTGCGTGTCCCTGCTCAACGCCTGCCTGAGCCACCCAACTCCGACCTGACCCACGGCTGTGATCCCCGCCGCCGCTCTGTCCAGGATCCCGGACCGAGTGCCCGAGTGCCACTCACCGCGTGTCCGGCAGCGGCGGGAGCGGTGCCTGGGAGCCGCGCCTCTCGCCAGCTGCACACCTCCCAGCCGGCACCCAGCACATCCCCGCCCCGCGGATGTCGACGGCACCTCCCCGCTCCTGCTGGTGGTAACGCCCGYTTTCTCCCTCYGTCTCCCCTCTCTCTCCCGTCCCTTTTCCTTTTCCTTTGTCATTTTCTGTCTTTTCCAACCCCCTGTTGTGGGCAATTACTTCTCTCTTCTCGTTTTCCTTYACCAATAACGGGTTTTCAGATACAAAGTTTGCCTCGGTTGACTTAATTTCGTTCCTGACCGTCTAATTTYAAAASAACTCSTTGCAGTTCCTCGCAGAATGCTACAGAGGAGTTCATTGTACCAGAAGAACAGGGACCACGCAGTCCTTGTCAACACTCTGCTGTGACCTCAGATTACACTCAATTCAAGCCCAGGGCATCAAAAGTAAGAATCTATCACAGCCATTATCTTGTACTACAGTTCATACTATTTCCATGAAGAAACTTACATGTAGTGAAAAGTAGGTGCTCTTCTTAAGTACTTGAGTGCTTCTTGTCCCACTGTCTGCCAGGCATCGCTAGGTAAAAACCCGCCTGGAATGTCCTCAGGATCATCAGTTTCTTCTACTTCTGTGCGATTTATACCCATGAAGGTTAGCTACAAAAGAAAATAAGTTGCAGTAAAAATTCACTTTGAGGCAAACCAGTAGATACATTCATGGTGAAACGCTGCATCGTGGTGTTTGCCTGATAGATTCAGTATTTAATACCACTACCTAAGAACTTTGACTTTCCTGAAGATACTGYGAAAACAGATAAATACTCAAGTTCACACTTGTGTTCAGCAAGCAATAAAAAAAAAATCATAGGTAAGTAAAACTGCTTAGATTCCAGCACATTTTCAATGATGTATGAAGTAGCAAAACATTACTTATATTGCACTACAGAGCTCAGAAGTCTCACCGTTTCTGACCACCACACTCCCAGGAAGCCCAGCCCCTCAAATACCATAGAACAATTTATCTGGCCTATCCCTATATCTACCAGTCCAGACTAATTCAGGAAAAACTTTAAATTGAACTTTATCTTTTTTCAGATTGTAGAGCTCTAGACKCAAGCAAACACTCAAAACTCCTCRTTGATCATCTGTAACATAAGAGAGYATTTTCAAGGAGAAAAAAACATCAGCAGCCTGCCTAAAAGCTGTGTTGAACAAACTCTCCTGCCCAGTCACTGCACAAAGAGACAAACTGTCCAGTCTGAAAGCATTCAGGTGATCCAAAGTCCCATTTCATGTCAGTGGTACAGCATCTCAACAGCTCTATCCAAAAACATAGAAACCAGYGGACTGGATAAAGAAACTACTTTTCTACTGAGAAACTACAGCAGAGTAACCAAAAAAAGTGCAGGAGACCTTGAGGGCATGAACTGACTGAACTGTGATGAAAGAGCAGCAGTGCAATAATGGGGGAGAGGTGTCTGCATTTTAAGTTAGAATTTACCCTACTGCAAATGCTTAACACGTAGYTTAAGACAATTAACAATGTTAACCAGAAAGAAATTCAGAGGAAAAGCATTAAATTCCATCAGAASTGCCATGACAATCTGAGGCTTTATGGTTCAGTARCARTCAGGGCAAATCACCAGTAAAACTGATGGCAAATTCAGAGCCAAGAACTTACCAAGTCCTCTGCAAATGCAGCTGAATCAAATGCTGACATCTCCAACTGTAACTCATTGGCTTTCTCCTTTCCTATACTGCTTGCTAGAACAAGAAACTGGGCATCCAGTGCAGCCTCTCGTGCACGGGAAACTGTTACAGAAAAGATTTTATGGTAATTAATATGAAATTGTCATAAAAATAATAAAATTCAGCACAGGGGCTATCCTGGCTTTAGCACTTTGGAAATGGTTTTACTACAATGACCTCTAACACACTTGCATAATCCTTGTAATATTTGCATTTAAAAAACAAGGAAAGGATTACACTAACAAACCATGAGAAAGTAACACATGATTTTGAAGAACAAATGTATTTTTTATCAACATGTCTTTCACTTCTCCAAGTGAAATGAACCCCTCTATACTGATATCTTTTATGTGTTCTACTTAAATTGTTCCAGTGAATCAAAATAMAGCAAATGTATTTTTAAGAGCAAATAAACTGTAACAACATTTATTTTCTCACAAACTTATTCAACCAATCTTCAACTCAACATAATTCTTTCAAGTCATATAAAAATTCTGATTAAGTCCTTGGACCTCAACTTTACTCTTGCCCTCTTTTGTTTGTGAGGCATCATCACCTCATGCTTAGCCAAACACATAAATTGAAGACAGCATTTTTTACCTCCGACAAAATTTGTTTTACCTCCATCAAAAAGTCTATTGGCTTCTTCCAAAGCTTCTGTCAGTTTGTTGCTTTTCGAATTCAACATAGCTTCTCGATTTTCTGTGGGAAAAGACACAACACAAATCCTGAACTATTTAAATGCAAGAAGCACTGTGMCAGGCTGAGCTTGTTTGACTCTGATTGGGGGCAGGTGCCCATCAAAGCTTCATCATCCTCAGCTGGACCAGGAGAAAAAAAAACAAAACAAAAAGCTCATGGGTCTAGACAAGGGCAGGGAGAGATCATTCATCAGTTACCCTCACGGGTGAAACTTGCTCGAGCTGGGGAAATTAGTGACATTTCCATGACAGAAACAAACAAGCCCCCGAAACTATGTGCTTGGTCAATTYTGTAAACAGGCTGGATCACACATAAACTACATTGTAGCATCTTGTAAAATAACTACACGTGTTTATCAAGTATTCAGAAAACTATACCCATGTGTTGCTGAACTTGGCAGTGCTACTCACACAAGCACTRCACCATTTTTTGTGAGGAAAACAGAACAATCCAAACACATACAGAAGGACTCACAAACCTGTCTACAGAGATGCTAAAGACCGCACAGCATTTTTTGGAAAACCCAAGAATAACTTTCTGGTCCAGGCACATAATGGTACGTGCAGTTTCAAACTAAAACTCAGACACCATGAAAGCAAAATTCAAGGATTTCAGTGCATCTCTAGRTCTAAACTCGACAGTGTAAGCACCATGTGTGGGTTAGTGCAGCTAAATCCCTCATAACCTCGCTGTCCCTGGGGATGCAGAAGGATTTTTCAGGACAAGAGGGAATGGCTTCACACTAAAGGAGACCAGGTTTAGGTATCAGGAAGAAATGCTTTACTGTGAGGCTGGGGAGGCCTTGGCACAGGGTGGCTGYCCCATCCCTGGAAGTGTSCAAGGTCAGGCTGGACGGAGCTYGGAGCACGCTGTGATAGTGGAAGGTGCCCCTGCCCATGGCAGGCAGTTGGAACGAAAATACCTGAAAGGCCCCTTCCAACCAACACATGATTCTGCGATTCCACTCTTCCTGGGACCCGAATTTCATATTCGACCCAAAATATCGGGAGCCCAAGGAACCCGGAGCTCCCGGGAACGCTCCCAACAGTTCCCCGCACGCCAGGAGCAGCCGCCAGCCCTGGAGGGCCCCGGCCGCCAGCCCGGACTCCCCATCCGTATCCGCAGMGCTTCCCGCGCCGCCTCCTTACGCTGCACGGTGGAGATGAGCTTCCGGTACTGTATCCGAATCATCCTGTTGTGGTCCCGGTCCCGGTCCTCGCCCTCGTTGATGCTGAGCTGCCGGAGCCTGTCGCCCGCCGTGTCCCCCCCGTCCTCCTGGGCGCGCGGCGAGCGCGAGCGGCGGCCCCGAGAGGCCGGCGAGGACTCGCCGCTGTCGCTGGTCTGCGACATGGCGGGAGCGCGGCCGCGGCAGCTGTCACCCGGAGCCGCCGGGCTGGCTCCGGCTCACGTGTGTGCCGGTCTGCCCGGGATACACGCGCCGAGTCGAGCCTGCGCAGTTCGCCTCAAAGGACCTTGTCTTCAGGCACCGCCGGTGATCGCTGAGCCGCCGCGCTCCGATCGTGATCTTCCATGTTGGTGCTGTTTTCCGCCTCGGTCCTGCAGCCTGCGCGGTCTGTTCCTCGGCAAACCGGCCGGGCCCTTCTGATCCGTTGCGGAGGTGGTTACGGAGCTCTCAACGTTCCTTTAACATTTACTCAGTTCCTCGCAGGCCGTTCCGAGCCGCGCCGCGTGGCCGAGCGCTGTGAGCGGCGCTGGGCGCTGCGCGGAGCAGAGGCCGCTCCGCTCCGCTCCGCTGTGGGCCCGGAGCCGCCGCCGCCGCCCGAGGGCGCTGTGGGCGCGGAGACCCGCGGAGCGTGAGGGGAGAGGCGGGGAAAGCCAACATCTGAGGGGAAAGCGGGGAAATGAGAGATAAAGGGACGCTGCGCTGTCCCCGCGCCGCCTCTAATGCATGGATATGTCCGTGGAAATGGCTGCGTTAGTCACTGAGCAGGGATCTGTGCTCTGGCAAGTGGAATAAATCATAGAGCCGTAGAAGGGGTTGGGTTGGAAGGGACCATAAAGACCATCTAGTTAGAATCGTGGAATCATCAGGGTTGGATGAGACCTTCAAGATCATCCAGTGCAATGTTCAGCCAGCACTGCCGCTGTAAACCCTAAACCACAAACCACATCACCCAGCTCCTCCTGAACATCTCCAGGGATGGTGACTYCACCACCTCCCTGGGCAACCTATTCCAAATGCCTGAGCACCTAAACAGTGAAAAAAAAAAAAAAATCTGATACCTAATTTGAATGTCTCCTATCCGAGCTTAAAGCCACTTCCTCTGGTCTTCTCACTTCAGGCACAGCAGAGACTGGTCCCACCTCACCGCGCCCTCCTCCAAGCCAGGGATTTGCGCACAGCGATGAAATCCCAGCTGAGCATCCTTTGCTTGAGACTAAAACCCCCCARCTCCCTCAGCCATCCCTCATAAGAGTTCTCTGGAAASTCTCCAGCACCTCAATGTCCTTTTTATAGTGAAGAGCCCAAAACTGAATGCACCACTCAAGATAATGGCCTCACCAATGCAGAATACAGGGGGACGATCCCTTCCCTGGTGCTGCTCATCACACTGTTCTCAAGACAGAGGATTCAAATGAATTTATATTGCAAAATATACATCATAATACTTAGCCATTCATTATTGATTAATATTGTAGTTTTGTTCTAATTATTGTGGTGGTTTTCTGAGGTATTTTTGGGAGTATTTTCTGAAACTTCTTCATAGATCAGTTTGATTCAGTATATAGACATGGATCTACTTTGGCTTTCCCAAACCAGTACTTCAGCTGGACTTCAGACTGCAACTATGCACAAGCTATCATTCAAAATGCAKATTTAAAATATGTAATACTTCAGTAGAACATTAATGAATAGTATTTGAACTCTTGAACAATTCTCTATTCTTCATGTGACTAGTACAGTTCTGTCAAATTTGCATTGCAAATTCAAYATGAGTAATTCGCTTTTGGATGCTGACACAGAAAGGCTCAAGAGAGGATCCAAACAAGACTGGGGCCCATTTTACCCTGCAGTACACAAACACATGTTAAAAAATATTCAGGATGCAAATACAGACTTAGCAAATGTGAGTTAAAATTTTTTACTGTCATCTCACTATGCTTAATAGGAACTAAACATTCTGCAATATTGCCAGATATTGCCCTGCATTTTTATTTTGAGTTCTGCTTATCCAGATGATCAGATCCCTGCTTTCTTGGCTATAATCATGTATCTGTGTCAATTGTTACTGTCAAYTGTGAAAATGGTAAGTGAAGAAATATTCTAGGTGCAATTGACTGCAAGATTTTCCAGTTGTCTTTACTCACCAAGATTGTTTTTTGTCTGATGTTCATTCAGTTGTCATCCATGAATATACAGATAACCTTATTCTTATTGAAATSAGAAGACGCACATAGAAGGATCCTGAAATAAATATTTCAGATTTATTAGGAGAGTTTCAAGTTTCGTTGTGTGCAGATTTCACCATTCTACCAAATGTAGAGTTTCTGGCATTTAGCAGAGGATCTCCAACTGAATTTAACTCCTAATGTTGTACACTTTGTATATACTGTGATCATACAGGTACTGTACTTTAGCAAGCCAAACACAATCTCCATTGTCATCAAATACAAAGCAATAATGTGGTCTTTTTATGGTGCTGCATAGTGAATTACAGGTGGGGTTTATGGTGCATCTGGGTGATCTCATCTAGAGCCCTTAAAATGTGGATCTACCACTATTCCATTTACTATCAAATTTAATCATTTGTCCAGTTCTGGAAATTGGTCTCCTGATGTGAATATCCCTGACTTGCTGGCAGATGTTCTCAGTCACTAATGGAAAAACACTTATGTTTAAAAGAGACAGTTTAGTCACTGACTAGGAGTGTTGCTTATGTTTTTAAAGCACAAACCTTTTGCATTTCTGTTGAATACACCAAAATAAATGCTACTGTTGAGGATGAAAAGATAAAGCAAGAAATTAGTTGTCTAAAAACATGTCAACACAGGACTTGTTGCCCATTGATGGCTGTTCCTGGTAAAAAGTTAATCCTGATGATGTGAAACAGGGCCTGGACTAATTGAAAACATCAGAAATAAAAYATGTGAGATACTTGGCATTCAGCTGCCAGCTCTRCAAGCAAACACAGATGAGGGGAAACTCTTTTAATGAGTGTAGCTAATGTAAAAATTTTGTTTTACAATATGGAAGTGTGAATTTGTATASTTGGTTCTTGCAGCAGCTGTTATTTCTGTATTTACAGATAATCCTGTGGGGGTGAAAATCTGGCACCAGATATTCCCTCAGCAGAGWGGATTAGGTTACAGCCCATCACATCACAGGATACATTGTGCCAATCAAAGAAAGTATTTTCAGACGAATATGAAAGAAATAATATTAATAGAACTATGAAAAAAACTGGGGCCCAATTTGGTGGGATGTCAAGGAAAAAATCCTGGCAGGATCAAACCCTCATTGGCACCAGAAACTCTTTATTATTAARGACTTGGAAGGTTTCATTAAGTGAAAGACTGACATCAGGTTACTACATCAACAACATGCACAAGTCATGCTGCTGGAGACCAAAATGCTGAAAACCTTCCACTTTTCCCCTACAATCAAACAGCAATGTAAAAAAATAAAATAAAATAAAATAAAATAAAATAAATCTTTGCAAGAAGGAGCGGGAAATATATACATATATCAGTGATGCCTCAGAGTGGAGAAGTAGCCAGACAGCTGCAGCCTTGGTGGTCCATCCAGCACATTTTGAATGTAGGAACAAACAAATTAAAAACAAATGTGGAACAATGTCAGATTTTTGCAAAAGCAAAAAGCCAATTAGTATTCTAAAGATTTATGCCCATATTTTGCATAACTGCAYGGCTATTTTTTGGACATAAAAATTTTAATATGCTAATAATTGCTGTATTCAGAGACAATTCATAAATTCACTATTTTTTATAACAATGTCTAGAAATTATCACCTCTTAGACACTTCAAACACTGTGCAACAACTGAATTAAACCTATGCATTTCTGTGATAAGCTTAATCTTATCCCAGCAATAATTTCTTCATATCTTGTGCTGATATGAATATATTTGTATTTATGTGTTTGAAGGCCTGTAACTCACAACCTATCATGAAAAAAGTATTTTTTTCTTTTCTGAAACAGTGTATTCCAAGGGAGGATTTTCCAAAAGTGCCACATAACTGAAAACATGCTCTACATAAAAGAAATTTGTGTGTTTGGTGYGGGTTTCCTATTCCAGTGACGTGTGCTTTGGGGGTTTATGGTTGAAACAGCTCCATGCTGAAGTGGTGTGGGTTTATTCCCTGAAAAACTCACACATGTAASACTGACTTCAAGCACTCCATTCAAACCAGTGGGCTGAAAACTTCACCTTATCCCGTGTGGGAAGGGACAAAGCTGCATTCCCTCTTTGCTGCCCACGTGGGYAAGAGAAAACTGAACACAGGCAAAGGGATGAAGAATGGAACKGAGGCAGAAGACTTCTTTTTCYTTCTCTCCATCCTGCCAGGTAATCTACTCGCATTCCAAAGCTTTGAATGTTTATTGTCAGCTGCAGCAAGGCGTTCCTTAGGAAACAGAGGAGCAGTGGTTTTCTAAAGGCAGCTGTCACTTCCAGCAGTGCTGTTGTTATTTACATTTGTCACATGCTAAATTGATCCGTTTCCCAACCTTTGCTTGCGAGGTCAGGTGAAAGGCACAGCCTGATATTTGGTTGTTACAGTCCTGGAGTGGAAAGCCAGAGGATAAAGTTCCAGTTACATTGGTTTAACGTGGAACTTGTCTCCCTGCCTTAAGCAATCCATATCCCAACAACAACCACAACGACAGTGCCAACGTGCTGCACCCAGAGTACAGGACCTGTCCTGTGTCATTCCCATCCAGCAACTGAGAATTCCTGGGAAGAACTGATGTGTCACAGCCCCACAGCTCCCTGGGTCAGATTCCTTACACTTCATAGCTCTCCAGCATAGTGTTCTCAAACATCAGCCAATTCACATTAATAGAACACTTTCATGTGATCCAGGGAGAAAGGGGATCCACACACCAGCTAGGAGTGAAGGAGTGCAGAAGGTTATAAAAATCAGGGACAGAGTGGTGCATTTTCATTTTTAGTCTAGAGGAAAATTGGGTAAGTAATTTTTTTTATTAGTTCTTTAAATTTGAAAGTGTCTAGACTCAAAACAGTTTACTAATTATGTTTTAGACATTACAAAAAGGCAAAGGGAGTGTCTGACAAGTAAAAGAATTTTTTSTCTGTACCAGAAAAGAAGAGTGTCTCCTTTGAGGTTCTATAGTTTCATGATCTCTTGTATAACTTGTTTTACAATCCCCATACCCTATATAGTATGTCTACAGGATGATGTCTTGTTTAGTCAGTATCTCTCTAAGACCAAGAGACTGATCATTAAATGTGTATGTCCTAAAATAGCTGTTTTAAAAACAAGTTACAACATTACAGACTGTCATAACTATTTGCAAATGCTGGAGTTGTTAAATGTGGCTCTCTTCCATCGTTGTTCTCTTTTTATTTTTTTTCAGAAACAGTTCTAAGGGTTTGTGTCAGAAAGGACTGCTTGTTGTTTTTAAGTTGCCATGTAACAAGAAGAATGTGTGTTTCTCATGCAGAATTTTAGGGATGAAATG